TAATCATTAACTGATAATTATTATTTTTCAATATTCAGCAAAGTGGTGGTGGTGGTGACAGGCGTGGTTAAAGAACTTGAGCAAGGCAATCAAATTACCCCAAAGCTTTGCGATCTAACCAAAACTGTGCCTTACATGAAATACTGTTGAAAAAATTAGAGATCACAGGTATTTCAATTCATTAGATAAGAATCTATCTGACAAACTGCCAACAACTAGTAGGTAATGTTCATGGTACTCTGTCAAACTACCAAACTGCCAAAAACAGCTTTCCAAAAGGGTCTGTTTTGGTGGTCCAATTAGATAAGGGTGACAAGAAGAACCATATTATTATATCATTATTCGTTTGCAAAACTTTTATATGAAGATAGTTGTTGAATTTTTTTGTAATATCAATATAAGAGTAGGACTCTTGCAAAATAATAGATCCATTGGAAGTTACTTCACATCAACATATTTTGAAATTGATATAATTTGGGAACTGTTGATGCATTGTTTACATCTTGTGAGATCTTTGACTGGAAAACGGAAAAAACTCAAACTATGGTCATTTCTAGTTGAAAGTCCACATTTGTTGTAGGCACATTTATTGCCAGACATCTGGATATGAAGATAAAATTGTAAAAGAAACAAAAGGCTAACAACTCAATTAGGTAAATTTGCTGGTAAAAATAATCTCATTAATCATACAATATTCCGCAGTTAGCACACATTCATCACATATTTTGGAATATAAAAGTATTTTTCGCAAAATGAACAACACCAACTTGAAAATTAGGTCACTTAGTTTACAAGGGTACTAGCCAAAGGTCAAATACCTATTCTCCAAAGTTGCTGCGACATAACCTAATGCACCCAATTTCATTTGATGAATAATTCATTTTGGAAATACATTTGAAGGGATCTAATAACATGAAATTTTAAATATAATTATTGAATATATTTTTACGTTTTTTTGATGTTCTGCCACAATTCACTCACAATTATTGTCTTATAAAAGTACAAATAACACAAACTAATAACTACTAAAAGCACTAATAACTCAAACTGATTACGAAGAAAACAATAAAACCAGATCAGAATCACAAAAATTCACTACTAATAACTTCTTATATGCCTATAAATGGATGGCTGAGCACGAAACGAAGACAAAGCCTGTGAGAAACATAAAAATAATCATTTACAACTTTTTACTACGACACTTTCCATCCCAATCTTTTATCTCTTTTATGGAGACCACGGTATTCGCACTATCTACTTTTCATTTCCATCGTCCTCCAATGATAACTCCATGAGGTCGACTGACTATAAATCTTTAGACAATGCTATGCTGTTCAGTTTTCACTTCGACAGGCTTTTAATAAACTGGCGAATGCCTATGTAGTTGAGATTTTGGCGAATACGCCACGAAAATTGGCGGCTTTGCTGAAGTACTGTTTTGTGTGAAAACATTTTTTTGGCTCTTCACTTCCTCAACTTTATAGTGAAAAATATGGGAAACTTTAGAAGAAATGTAAAAAAACAACTGAGTTCAAAATAAACTCTTTGCAAAGATATGCAGATTGTTTTGTTGTATGAAATGTCTGCTATAATTGTCTTCCAAAATAGTAGAACTGAATGAAAAGTAAACTGATAGATGCAAAACTCAAACGAGGCTCCGTGAACACGTCTATTTGGTTAAAAAATCTACAATGTATGAACATCTTCAAGAATCAAAACACAAGATAAGTCAAAATCACACACATATGTAATAAAAGGAAAAAATGAATTTGTTGGGAGTCAATTAATAAATCAATTATAAACCAGAAATATATATTCCTAAACGAGCAACGCGATGTATGTAAGTCTCCACTCTTGAATTTATAAGTTTAACAACCCTTATAATCTTCAGTGTTGAATTTTAAAGTTGGCACTCTGGTTCGTTCAATTACCTGTCCTTCCATCTTACCTTAAAACTCCCGATATAACAGAGTTTCCAAATTTCGCATTTCATTTTTATATTTGGCAAGACTTAGTGCAAGCCTTGTGTGTAACTCAAATACGGACCATAAAACAATCGTACGTCAAAATACAGACCAATAATGAAAGGATATTAAATACCGAAAAGAAGAAAAATTGCCACATTTCTCACGATAATAAGAAAATATTACTTCAACTCAAACCACCAATTTATATACGATACTAGTTGTTTCCCGCGGCTTCGCCTGCGTAGAATTTGGTAGTTGCAGTACTAATTAGTACTATGTTGCTGTATCGCTGCTGTTTCAATGTTTAGTGCAAGATCTCAGCTTGGGACCACTCGATGTTGTGTTGATGGGTCCAAACATGGTCTGCTATTCCTGATTTGCTGGTTTCTCCTCGCTGTGTGTCCGAACTGCTGTGGAAGTCCGAACTAGTGAAATTCATCACGAAACATCAATCACCTTCAAACATACTAAAATTTGTTACCTGAGGTTGTATACCTGAAGTCCAATATGGAATTTCTCGGCAATTAACTACCTGCAAGTTCTTAGTAATTATTCTCTTCCTAACAGAAGATTAAAAAGCCATTCATGCTGATCTTACATTTTGCTATTTCTAGACTCTCACATGCATCGAATAGGCTGGTGTCATGCACATGCTTAATCAGTTTCAGATTGTTTTCACCAATTCTGTGGTCCTTGTCTAGAGCATGTTGGGCGACACTGGATTTTTCTATACAATTTCTGTTTTCAATATCGAATGAAAATGCCACTTCTCAAATCGTGAATCAGATTTTTCAGGTACTTATTGTTTTTTTATGTGACGGGAAAAAAGTTTGACATATTATCTCTGATGTCACTTTTCATGAAATTACTTTTTTACCCGGGAAAAAGTAAAGGTTGAAATTCAATTTTTCAATATTAAATCGTCGTTTTTCCCGTCACAGAAAAAAATTGTGGATTATACACGGGAAAAATATTAGATTTTAGCTCTTGGATTTTTATCTCTCTCCGCTTCGCGTCGGGAGACAACACAACCTCGAGCTAAAATCTAATAGTTTTTTCCCTTGTATAATAAATAACTATTATTTAACGGAATTATTTTACCAACACCCCAGAAACAAAAGAAAAAAGTAAATAAAACAATTAACAATGCAAACATTAGTGGAATAAAAGGCTAGTTCCTAAATTCATCAATAAGTCTACCGATGACTTCGACGGATTCACCTATTGGTTCTTTTGAAACGTTAGCGCGTTTTTATTGGTTGAAGCAATACATCAGAAATATTCCGTCGAACTTAATAACTCCCTTCAACAAATACATGACGTCATTGGAGGAATACAGATTTGTATGTTCCGTGAACAATTCATCACAGGTGTTTTCTGACGTTTAATCGTATTCAAATATGTATTCAAAAACGATTCGTAGTGATGTCTGAATGGAATGATTCAATTCGTGTCAGATGTTAAATTCGAAAATAAAAACAAACTATTCAGTTTTCTCTAACTGCAATTAGAATCGGATATGTGCATACAACAAATTCCCAGCTTTATTTTGTACATCCTCACAATGTATTTCATGAAAAGTGTTCAGCACTTTATATAAGCTATAACGATCAAAATGAAACAGAAACTGACAACTGACGTAACGTAACGTCAAATTTCGTCATGAATTTATTTCAAATCATACCTGTGTGACGTTATCGTTTCAACGCTAGAATGAATGTATTTGAATCACAGACGAATACGTATTGAATACATGAATGCCAGAAAACGCCTTAAATTTTACATGTTCAACATGACAAAACTGTACTCCAGGGCAGTTAACAAACATTACACATGATAATACGGACTGGTCGTGACGTCACTTTCACATATATTACACCTGCGGAACACAACGTCTTGGCCATTGCCTCTCAGCACCATGTGACAAATCAAATCTTACAATTTTCACAATGGAAATATGCAACATGTAAAACATCGTGACGTTGTACCTGACGTGAAGTGTATGTGTGACGTAAATGCCAAGCCGTCAATCTCTTCATCTTTTTTTAGTTGTTAAAGTTAATTTTCTCTCTTCAATAGCCATTTCATATTATAACGTCACTGTTAACGAATCGTTTTTGGACATTTTATGACAATTTTCCCTATTTACATATGACTTATTCAATGTTGATAATGTTTAAAATCTTTTCATAGGTTTGAATTTCGAAGAGTATTCATATCTATTTGTGGGCTTCCCATTTATAATCTCAACATTCGTGAGTACCAATCATTATTGTTATTATTTGTATATTTCATTATACCATTGAATTCTTGAAGCCAATGAATTGCTGTCATACCCTAGTTTTTCCTCACATTTTTCTACTTGAAAAACTGTTTTATTTTGAACTATGTCTCTCGTTCGGGAGATCTTTTGGTTTTTTTAATACCCTTTACCTTTACGTGATTATCCAAACCAGTCCGGCCTGGATACCGGCGTGAATAGAGAAGGCCTCCACTTCACATTTGTTGAAATTTCCACGTAGAGATTACTTTCACTCGATGGACGATCACAACACAAAAAGAAATCCTGCCATTTCACATGGCATACAGGTGCCTCCTTTGCGGGTGGACGTTATAGGCACGTTCCGTCCAATACGGTAGTGGAAGGACGTGCCGTAGTAGTGGCACTACTATACGGCCACCACGAAACTCCGGTACATGTATGTTTGAGAGTTCATAATAAATTTGGTATCAAGTGCATATTATATTATAACATTATAATATAAAATGCCTTTTTCAAGTGAAACATAGTCCATTATTTGAAAAATAAAATTTTGTTCAGCGCAAGGCCAAGCGTACTTTTATTATTGCTAAAATTCCATTCACAGAATATATTATTCTGTGTCCCATTCAGCATCCCCATCAGCATTCCCATTCAGCAGAAATCTATCAAATGATATCTAGACGATAGATTGCTATTGAATATTAGAACTCGCTTAGAGTTATGTTGCTATATGAAAGAAAGTTCTTTACATTTTTGTTTTGACAGTTCTTCCTTCTTTTCATACTGAAAGTGTTTTAAAAAATCTCTTGTAATATTTGAAACCTGGCATACATTTTTCAAGCAAATTTATTTCAAAATGGAGAACATATGTTGAGCGTTGATGTTTTCCGCTAACCACAACACATATCACGAAACCACCCTCAAAGGTTAAATTTGGATTTTGTGCTCTTGGCTATGAACACAGAACAGTACAAGAATTGTACGCCATATTTGATCCTCGTGTGGTGAAAGTTGTCAGAAAATGTGTATTTTACAATATTATATTTGTATTTTCCTATAATTTTTCAATCCTTAGTGCAATTATGGAGAAGGACCGAAACAACAGTGTTAGTTATAATTCGTCACCTACTAACGATGAAGATGAAGAAAAGGTATGACAAAATGCGTTCTTTAGTACAAGTTCGCGCCTTCTCATTACTATTAATAGATTGTTTGGGACAATTTTTCCAATTCTAAGTTTTGATATTTAAATCAACCTTTTTCTCCAGATATTTAAGAATGTTTTGCAAGTATTTTCCTCAAAAAAGGTATAGCTAGTAATTGTAACCTAAATTCTGAACCACAAAATACTTATGTTGGTTATAAATACCCAGCAGTCCTTGAATCTCTTGTTGATTTATTATTTTGTTTCAGTCAATTGTTGGTAAATTTAAATCGATTATCAGCAGTACACCTTTGTCCAAATGGTTTCGTAAACGAGAAGATAATAATCAATCCACAATCAGGAGACGTGATGAAGATGAAGATGAGGAAATTCGTCAAATGCAACCACCCTCCAAGAGGGTCAAACTACCTGTTGATGCAGAGCAAACAAACAGTGTGATATTCAATACCTTAGACACAAGCACATCAATTAATGTCAGTGCATCAAATAAAACGATTAATCATTTTCCAGAGCCAGTGGCCGGCCCATCTGGTGTAAAGTTTCAAAAATTACTCAGTAGTGCAACCTCAGTTTCTACAAATAGTGTGAAAAATACTTTTAGTAATCGCGAGTTTTTGAACGGACATAATTCGGACAGTGAAGAATCTACTAGTGGATATTCCTCAGTAGTTAGAATCGGTAGCAAAGAACAGGTCTGCCAAAGTCAAGACAGTTCCAAACAAACTTCACCATTGCAGAACAAACCTAACAATACCAGGTCTCTATTCCAAAGCCCAAGTGAGTCTAAATTCACTTTAAGTTAGCTTCCTACTCAACTGATTACAATGAGTACTAATGCAGTTTTAAAACAAACAAAAATACATTACAACCCTAAGATGGGAGGAGAAGCTGGCCATTTTTTTTTCATAGAAAAGTCATTCCAAAAACAAGCTCTTTTCCCAATCTCTTGAATACGCCAAGTTGGTTGGTGAAACACCCAGCAAAACACATATTGTATTTCTGGTAATCAGAGAAAATGCCTGTTTTTGGATTTATTCTATGCCAGAAGTTCCAGTTTCACCTTTATTAGAAAAGTCATTATTAACGTTTTTCTTGCTAAAAACACCATTATCCATGCAAAAATTGTGTACAGAGTGTACGAAAGTTGAAAATTCAAATTTAATGTAAGAGTATAGTACCTTCTTCATTCTCATTTTTTTCATTAAATTGAATTAAACTGAATATTTTAAGTATCAGTAAGATTATGGACAAAAATAAGTTGCACAAGAATCACTATCAACTGTTTTAAATACTACTGAAATATACCTTTTTGGAAAAATTAATTCATTAAATGAGTCAGTGCTCCAGGTGGAGGTTTTTTATTGTTTATATAACTGATCTAAATGAGCTCATTGATGTCTGTATCATGAAATAGTTCTTCGGTACTTTATAATGTTCTTCATCAATTTCGTTGTATTAGAACAAGGGTCTCCAAACTTTGAAGCCTTCGGGCCATAATGATTTTTTCAGTTTGTTCCAAGGGCCAATTTCTGCCCTTAATGAACAAGAGTCTGCAACTCGCGCCAGCTTTCGTGTGGCTCTTGAAATCGGAAAACGTGGCAAACCATTCACCGGAGAAATGATAAAAGAATGCTTGATTGCAGTAGTCGAAGAAATATGCCCTGAAAAGGTAAATTTATTTAAAAGTGTCAGTTTGTCAGCAAACACCATTGCTCGGAGGGTGCAAGACATCGCAGAAAATATATCAACTCAACTGTCTGACAGAAATGGACATCATGAGTGGTTTTCTCTAGCATTGGATGTGTCAGATACTGCTCAGGTGTTGATTTTTATTAGCGGAGTAGATAAAAGCTATGAAGTGTATGAAGAACTTCTTGATATTGATATAATTCACGGCACGACAACTGGGGCAGACATTTTTAAGGGAGTTGAAAATGCCATTAATATAAAGAACCTTCGATGGAGAAATTTGAAATCTATAACAACTGATGGAAGCAAAAATATGTATGGTGAAAATAAAGGAATGGTTGCACTTGTGTCAAAGGCTGTAGAAAATGATGGTGGTTCAAAACCATTAGTCTTACATTGTATCATTCATCAACAGTCCTTGTGCGGAAAATGTTTGGATATGTCTGAAGTTCTAAAACCAGTCATATCAGTTGTTAACTTCATCAGATCCACTGGCCTGAATCACCGACAATTCCGCGAGTTCATTCAACAGATTGGAGAAAATGATTTACCATACCATACTGCCTTACTCTGGCTTAGTTGCGGAAAAGTCCTTAGGCGCTTTTTTGAACTTCGAGCAGAGATCGATTTTTTTTTAAATGAGAAGCAGCGCCCTTTTGCCGATTTAGAAAAAATTGAATGGATGTGGAAGTTCGCCTTCTATGTCGATTTGACAAATCATATGAACGAACTGAATTTGAGATTGCAAGGAGAAAATCATCTTCTCCCTGATTTATACACCAATATCAAATCCTTCAGGCAGAAAATAATACTATTTCAATCGCAATTACGTAAAAAATGTTTCACACATTTTGAAACATGTGAAATATTCAGCCACACTACAGAGACTGAATTTCCCGTCAATTTTGCAATCGAAACTTTGAGTGCTTTGAAGATAAATTTTGATACTCGTTTTTCAGATTTTGATGTCATTGCGAATGAAATTAAGCTTTTTCAAAATCCTTTTGATTCTGACATTGAAACCCTGGCTCCGGAAGTCCAAATGGAAATTATTGATTTACGGTGCAGTGATATGCTTAAGAACAAATATCAAAATTCATCTTTGTTGGAATTTTATAAGAGTCTTCCACTGGAACAATTTGATAATTTGCATAAATTTGCTTGTGGGTTGTTTTCTATTTTTGGTACTACTTACTTGTGTGAGAAAACGTTTTCCAAGATGAAGTACACAAAGAATGTTTACAGATGTCAATTAACCGATGAGCATCTCAAATCTCTTTTGATAATTGGTACAAGTAAAATTGATCCACAACTACAAAGTATTGTCGGTGGAAAATCACAATTACATAAATCTCATTAGTTGTTTTAGTTTACTGTGATTCATTTCAATTATTTGTTAGTTAATAATATGCTTAAACTTAGATACTTAAGTTAAGTTTTCTTTGTCATCATTTCTGTCGTTAAGTTTTACCTTGCAAGTAAATAAAACCGAGTAATTATCATTCTGTGTTTTCTTCTTCAACTTATCACAGCAATAGTAACAACAATTAGGTAATCATTGGCTGTCACGGGCCAGATTGATGACAGTAAATCATTGGCTGTCGCGGGCCGGATTTGGCTCGCGGGCCGTAGTTTGGAGACCCCTGTATTAGAACAATGATGACTAATGAACAAAGGTTACTATTAACACACCAACTTTCCTTTGACTTATTTTATTGTTCACTACGGTTCTTGTGAAAAATCTCTCCAGATGTTCTGATAGTTTTTCTTAAGTGATATTTAGATAGATCATTATTCATACAAGTACCAAACTACCATAATATACCTCTATTATAATTTACAGCAATGAACTAAAATAGAACACCGATGAAAATTGTACAATTGCTTTTATTCAGTAACAATTTTGAAATTAATTTTACCATTGCCATTTGATAACAATTTCAAAATGAACTTAAATTCAGAAAAACATCACATCACTCATTATTGTGACTTGAAATTTAAAAGTTTGGATATAACATTGTTAAAAGTGAAGTGCTCTTAAGTAATTTGTGGTATTTACGAAAACTTTTAAAGCATAGTGAATTAATTGTAATGATTCTGGTTCTTGCGACACATAAGTAATGAATTCTTGCAAATGTATTGAGCTAGTTGGTTCAGTATTTTGTTGAATATTGTGAAGTTTCAGTTTTTTCAACATATTTATAAAATGAATGAATTTAATTTTTTTCAGAGAAAAAAATATCTATTTGAAATTTATATCTGGCATATTGTATTCACCTAAGACTCGAAAAAATTGTAATTTAATGAGTTTATTAATTCTTTTCAGATACCTCTATGAATCGGTCATTGTTCACTGACAGAACTTTGAGTCCTAACATTAATACATCAATGACTTCGAGGAGACCATCTTTCAATGCATCAACTTTCGGGTCGCCTAATTTCATCGACAACACTATTACAACCGAAAAAATCATCAACTCTCCCTTTTATAACGGACGAACGATATATGGTGGAGCGTCCGCTTATGGCCGTAGATTAGGTAGAAGTGCAAGGGATCTTAGAACGTCTCTGAAAAAGTCTGTACAGATCAAACCCGTCAACAAAACTAATGAGAACGGTAACTTAGTTCTCGGGAAAACAGCAAGAAAGATACTAGATACTTTGGAGCAGTATAGTTCTCCTGTGAATGATGCCAAAAAAATTCCTACCACATCGAAAAGGTTTCGTCCAGATGGTTACCTCAGCCAGCACGTGGGTGCCAGACCTTACATGGTTCGAGGAAAGGATGTTCCTTCGAACAAGGAACTGCAAGTGCCGACAGTTTCTGATCTCTTGAAAATGAAACAAAAAATGAAACTACAGCAAAGTACAGAGGTTGTAAGACAGATTGCTATTTCTTCAAAGTCCAATCTGAATAATACAAGTGGTCAAAGTACAAGCACTACTGAAAAGGATACGTCTGAAACACTCAGTAAAGATTCATCTAAAGATCAAAACCTAGAAACTAATAAGGCCACCAGTGAAAGTCAAGTGAAAACCATCACTCCGAGTCTTCCAGTTACGTCGTTACCTAAATTTAACGTTGCTGTGGCGCCAGAATCAAGCAAAAAGAAATCTGCAACAAAAACTACGAACGGGTTCTCTTTTATCCCCACCCCTTCAATTTCTATGCCTTTTAATTCTCAACCAGTGGTCGAAACAGTAAAGACTGACGTGACTACTAAGAAATCTGACGAATCCACTACAAACATTACAAATAAAAGAAGCTTCAAATTTTCTGATCCTTTGGTAATATCAGAAAACTACAAGTCTATTGTCGCCATAAATAATTTCAAATTCAGTGAACCTCTGTGCAAAATTGCAAAAATAGAGTTGCCTAAATCACTGAATAAAGATAAAACTGAAGAAAAAGTAGTTGAAAACACGTCTGTCTCGAATGGTAATCAATCCTCTGAGTCTCCGAACAAAACCATAGACGTACCTTTGTCAAAGGCACCAGAAAAGAATAACGGTCCGAACAGTTTTGATAAGCAGTTCAAAATGTCTGCCAAGGAATGGGAGTGTAGCATATGCATGATACGTAATAAAGAGCTTGATGCGCAATGTGTCGCTTGTACTGCACCCAAACCATCCCCCAAACCAGTTATAGAAAATGTGAAGACTCTGCCTTCATCATTTGGCAACAAATTCAGCGTGCCAAGCTCGATGTGGGAATGTACAGTTTGCATGGTCCGAAACGAAAAAGATAGAACAAATTGTGTCGCTTGCAAAGAACCAAATACAAAAGTTACACCCGCTATTCCAAAATTCTCCTTTGAAAAACAATTCGAAGCTCCCCCGGGTACTTGGAACTGCCCCACTTGCCTGGTGAAGAACAACGATGATTTGCTGAAATGTGCCGCGTGCGAAACAGCAAAAAAAGAAAATAAAACTTCTGATAACTTGAGCTCGTTGTTTAAAGTCAAAGAGAACGAATGGGAATGCAAAGTTTGCATGGTGAGGAACAAATCTTCAGATATCAAGTGTCAGTGCTGCGAGGCAACCAAGCCAGGAAGCTCTTCTGAAAATTCAACTGAGAAGGACCCTTCCAGTAAGCCTGTGCTGAAATTTAACTTTGGCTTTGATAAAGTTCAAGCAAATACTTTCACTTTCGGGATTCCGGCTGATCCTGCTGTAACTCTGCCCAAACCTGCAGTGGATCCATCAACAGTCTTCGGAGAAAATGCTAAACCAACTGCGCCTGCAGCTAAGTTTTCTTTCGGTATTCCAGCTGAGTCTAAAAAAGAAATGGGCACCAGCGAAGCTGTCAAACCAGCAACTGAGGTAGTACAAGCAATTGTACCAGCAGTCGATCCAAAAGTTGCATCTGAGAATAAACCTAGTAAAGAGACAGTTACTTCGGTTGATGTGAAATTGAGTGAAAATATACCTTCCCCAATTTCTCAAAAAACTATTACTAAAAAGGAAGAAGATAGCACAGTTAAACCAACCACTACTGCAGATCTGAATAGTAGTATTCCGGCTAAACCAATATTTAGTTTTGGTGTGGCACCAACTAATTCTCTAGATAAAGTGGACGCTACAGCTAAAGAGGTGACTAAAAATGCCCCCCCTCCAAAGCTGTTCAGCTTCGGTGCCAAACCTGCAACCACACAAGAGGCACAAAGCACTAATAACACTACTGTCGTGTCAACGGAAACCAGCAAACCATCGACCACCGTGCCTGCTTTCACTTTTACCGCTAACAAAACCACCGATGCTGCTTCGTCGTTATTTGGATCAACAAAAACACCAGCAGTGAATAATGGGTTCGGATTCTTGAATTCTTCGTTTGGAAATGGAAACAAGGCTAGTGTTGATGCTCCTCCAAAAAACACCGCGGAAACCAAACCGTTTTCTTTTGGAAGTACATCTGCTACTGGTGAACCTGCCAACAAGATGCCGATGTTCAGTTTCGGTCCACAAAAGTCTACCCAGCCTGAACAATCTTCAGGGTTTGCTTTTGGAGCTGCAAAGCCAACTGGGTTTAATTTCACTGTTGGAACTACAGAAACTTCTACCTTCAATGCTCCATCTGGAAACATCTTCAGTGAGCCTGCCACCACAAACAGTGTTAGTTTCAGTTTCGGTTCGACTTCTCAGGCTAACGGTAGTCAAAAGGCGGGTTTCAGTTTTGGATCTACAATGAACAGTACCACCTTGCCACCTGCGGCCTCATCCAGTTTCAATTTTGCTGCAGCTGCTCCAGCGGTATGTTTATAATTGGTTCTTGAAATATCACATCATTTTTTTTGTAATTTTTCAGCCAACAGGTGGTTTCAATTTCTCGGAGGCAGCAGCGGGTTTTGGTTCCACTAAACCATCCTTCAATTTCTCTGACGGCTCGGTGACTGCTTTTACGTAAGTATTGACAAAAATTTTTTCAAATAATTAAGTTAAAAATGTGAACCAACAAATAAAAATATAAAAAACTCGGACCCCATAACATTGGAAACTGATGGTATAGACATTTGCCATCCGAATACTATTGCAAATCTATTTAGCAAACATTTTAAAATAGCTTGCTTCCAAAATTATCCATTCATGAAAGAGTGGCTGATGTGTACGCAACTATCTTTCTACAACCAGTAAGTGAAAATAAAAGTTTTTAAATATTTCAAGATTTACAACCAACAGCGTGTGGAATTGATTGCATACTACCGATTATACTTAGAAAGGTCTGTTGGTTCATATGTAAACCTGTTGCCATATGTGATTGATAAAATGCTTTGTAGAACCGTCTTTCCAGATCCGAATCAGTATGGCTACAGGAAAGGATTTTCAACAGAACTAGAAATCTATAATGCCACTGAAAATATCGATAAGAAGTTTACTACGGTGGGCTTATATTTTGACCTTTCAAAGGTCCTGATACCATACAAAACTATGGTATCAAAGGAGTATGCAATGATATAATTGCTTCCTATTTGACAAATTGACCCCAGGGCAAGAATCTACGGTGTAGGAAGTTAAGAGAGATGAATATTTTGAGATTTGATTTCAAAATATTAATGGTCTTATATACTGTTTACTCTTTTCGCTAAAACAAGAAACATCTGTGAGATTAACCTCTGTAAGGTATCTGGCATAAATGTCTCGGATATAATTCAATATCCGGCGTGGTATTAGCCGGGAAAGTAGTTGTTCTCGGCAGGCATTTACCAGGACCTTGGGAGAGATGAATTTTTCCAGATTTTATTTCCAAATTTTTTTTATCATCCTTCATTTCTTTCTGTTATTCGGTGTACACCTGTAGAGAATAAAAGTATACAGTTTGGACGCTGACCTCAGTCAGATTAAATATTTTTAATCTCAATGTTTTCATCAGCTTGAACCATTTCCAACGCTTCTTGTAGGAGAAACTCCCTTCTAAATGAAAATCTAGAATTACTGATGAATACTATCAACTACAAAAATACAGTAGTATAGCCTTCCGTCTACGAGGGTTGCCTTTTATATTTCGGGATTAGAGAACAAAAACAAATATTAATCATCGAAAATCACTTTATTGTTTTTCAAAATATTCCCCATGAAGATCTACATACTTTTGCATGCGTTTGAACCAATTGTCGAAGCACTTTTGCCACTCTGATTGAGGTATCTCCAAAACATGCATTCTGAATGCAGCAACCGCTTCTTCAGGTGTCGAAAAACGTTGTCCTCTCAGTTTGTTTTTTACGTGCGGAAAAAAAAAGACGTCACTCGGTGCCAAGTCAGGACTATACGGCGGATGACTCATCAAGTCGATGTTTTGGGTGCTCAAAAATGAAGTTTGAGCCGATGTGTGAGAGCTCGCATTGTCGTGGTAAAGAGTGATCCGTTGGCGGTTGGTTTTCCTGTTTTCTTGGAAGACAACTGGCAAACAAATGGTTGTGTACCACTCAGAATTGACTGTTCAGCGTTGTTCTAGTGGCACGGTTGCGACATGTCTAGTTTTTTTGGAAAAAATAGGCGACCATTTGCTTGGAAGTGCTTTGTGCACGAACAACCTTTGTTGGATTTGGCTCAGCTTGAAACACTCATCCACGATTCATCACCTATCACGATGTCATAGACGTGTTTCGAAGCATCGCGATCGTATTTTTTGAGCATTTCCATCGATTCTTTTTTGAGCGATTGACAAATTGTGTGGGATCCAACGCGAACAAATTTTTTTGACAGTCAAATATTTATGCAATATCGAATGCATGCTGGTCCCACTAATGCCTAAGGTTGTCTCAATGTCACGATAGGTCACATGACAATCTTGCAATATCAGTTTGCGCACAGCATCAATGGATTTCGTAACAACAAATGATTTTGGACGACCTTCACGAAATTCGTCTTGGAGTGAACTACGACCACGAATAAATTAACCATACCATCGATAAACACTGGTCCTTGATAGAGCTTCATCGCCAAAAACTGAATTAAGTTCATTGATGCACTGTTGCTGAGTTAATTCACGTCGAAAGTTGTAAAAAATAATCGCACGAAATTTTCACGATTTAATTCCATTTTTGGGCCGAGATGAATCTATTAAGTTACTGTAAACAACACAAATAGCGCGCATGTCAAAACGTTCTGAGTACGTATAAGCTCAAACGTGCTTAATTTTACGATAGAGCTGTCAGTTGCCAGATTGCAACACTAGGGTTGCCAAATCCCGATACATAAAAGGCAACCCTTGTATGCTAGTAAAAGCCTATTTCACAAATATTTACTCAGAAGCATCTTATTTCGTAACTCTTCAGTGAATTGAAATGTGTTTGTATTTTATACAGAGCTGCACCTACAACCGATGGGGCGCCTCGGAAGATAAAGAGAGCCATTCGCAGAACGCAACGATAGTTCGAATGATGAAGATGTAAATATACAAAGGAACTCATAGTATTGATTGGCGTAATGTGTGTGGGAAGTGAGTGTTTGCCTAATCCATTCAACTATCATGAAATATGGTAAATTTATTTTAACGCGAAACCTATTTAAAAGACAACAGGGCAGGATTCGTTTTCAGACCTATAAATGTTAGCTAGGTATTTTAGTATCATAGGCCATCTGTGAAGATTTTGCGAGTCGAGCTGTCAACCTTTTGAATATTGTAATATAACGTTGTTGAATTATAGAAATTTATATGACTTCTGAACAGCCTCAGACAAAGTAATAATATTCACAGATGCGTCTACGTGGACTGGCTCTAATGACGTGCTCCACATAATATCTACAGTGTAAACCTTAGTGTAAGCATTTGAATGGTCTGATCCATAGAATGTAGAATTGAACAATGGTGTTTGATGGATATTCCTTATATGATTATGTGTGATGGAAACTTTTTGATGAATGTAATGAATACTAGCATATAATATTGATATGCCCGCCGTTACTGGCACTTTTCTGTGATATTCTTATGGGTCAGGCCCCCTACCTACGTATACAGGCTGACCTAAATTTTGTGTTCTACACTTGTTACTTTTATTATGGAAGATAGGAAATCGTTTCATTTGACAGAATAGTATCGCAACACTCAACAATGTGTGATAACACAAACAACTGAGTAACGACATTCTGAGTAAATTATCTCTTGTGAATAAAAAAACCCTGTCTTTAATTTTTTTTTTGTAGAATGTGATATTCCAATTATAAGAGTAAATTACGTTTTTTGTAATTCAAAAATGAGTCATTAAGGTTTTAGTGTAGGATGAATGTATTATTTGAATCAGTGACAAACATAATTTTTGATGTCTTCGTAGTAGGTGTTCAAAGACGCCATATTATTCTACTGGAATATTTTTCAGCATGATTCTGCTATTGAAAGTTTGCCACTGTTCTGTTATTCTCTTTTTTATGGTGCTCATAATAAATTTGCAAAAAAAGTCTAGATGCTTGAGATTAGGAGATCAAGAATGCCATGGAATATGACCATGTGTTCCTATTAATTTATACTTGAACAATGCAATAAGAAGCTATACTGTGACGATGTGAAAAACAGAGAGTAACAGAAAAATTCCAAACTGTCAATGGCAGAACCATACTGAAAAGTATCTTAGTAGTTTAAAAACAGGTCCAAAAATCTAGTGATGTAGTGTGTTGAATGTCGACTTGAATAATACTGTGCATATATATCCATATTTAATTTAGTCTTTTATAACGAACTCCGATTTCACTTAAATTAAAATGTCGTGAATGTTTATAATTGCTGTATCATATTCTACCAAAAAAAGACCTTATATTGAACTTCCTTTTAGAATATCTCTGAAAGAGATGTTACTCGTAGTTTTTTTTTTTGTGTATTAACGACGTAGAAAATATTAACTAGTGTACTGATTTCAATGATTTATTTTCCCAAATAAGAGTTACCAGAGATGAACAGTCAATTTGGGTCAGCCTGTATATTATAAGTTTAGTAAATGGTTATTTATATATCACAGACAAAACGTTATGATGTTGTTTTAGTGCACCACATATGAATGCCCTTTTAAGGTATGATTTTAATGAGATTTTCCTACAGCTATGAAGCTCTCTCAGATTTTGAAAATATGCTTTTGGCTTCATGATATTATTTGGTGTGATTGAAATTTGATATTGAAGTAGAAAAGGATCTTTTAGTCTAAGCTGCCAGACCCTCGTCATTCGAGCGAAATTAATATTTTGACAATAACTAGAGTGATATGTAGTTGAAAATATATCCATACTGGCTAACTTAAAATCAAGGCACATTTTGCAGATATCAGGGAATCTCTTTTTGACTCCTTACACTGAAAAAATACCCTGGAACAAGGTTCTGAAGTCGGATCTTTACTATTGATAAAGATTATTGTTCCTGAATGTGACAATATCATTTGTTTTTGATGGGAAAGTTCATAATAAATTGTATCCAGGGGAATCATCAAAAAAATGTGTTTTTATTACTTCTTAAAGACAATGTCTTTTATTAATAGCAGTGATTAGACATAAGGATGTTGGAAGTAGGTAGTATGCATGAATTCTTACCTGCATGTTTATTTTTGTCAAAATATCAACTTTGCTAAAATGAAGTAGATGTGGCAACTCTGGAATTTGGAACTGAGTACGTCGCAAAATTCACATATACTCAGCTGTCTCTAAATATTTCAAAATTATATTTTTCCTGTGTTTCTACTGTACCTATAGCTAGCTGTAAGTTGATTTGTTACATTAGTTGGGAAAACCTAATTTGGCTCATGAATCAGTGTACTGTAAAAACGAGTATTATTTAGGCTTTCGTTATTTTTCAACTGAATATACCCTATTCAAATATACTTTTTCGGTTAGCCATAACCTACAACTTTCCTTTCCTCACCCAAGTCATAGTCAAATTCAGCATTTTGCCCTATGCCTTTTCACTTACATTGTAAGTCGTAAGATTATGTCATGTCCAAAAAGGTATCATTTAGAAGGAAAATTTACATTCTTAAATATATTTTATGAAACCAATAATGTCGACAGTTTCATAAAAATAGAATCATCTTTGTGGCTGGTTAATATAAAGAAAACATGAGAGGCTCTGGTCTGGATTAGAATTGAATCTGAGTTCAATGAATCTCATTATTACCATCATTTCAATTTTGTTTATAACATTTGAGTGGTGGTTTGAAACGTTTTCATCTTGTTGAAAAAACAAAAGCGTTGGCATAGCTTTCTTTTAGTTTAATCTCCATCAAAATTTACATTTTCCATAACGGTTTTCAAATGCAGGGGTATAAATTTCACTGTGCGGACTGTCAAATTCCTTGAAACACTCGTATTTAAGCATTTATGACTCGCTTGTTATCACAAATCTGTCACCTTCAAACCATTTTTGAGATCAGGAAATCGGTGCTAAATGTGGTGAATACAGTGGATGGGGGAATGAACAGGTGCATTGTTATTGGAAAACAATTGTTCCATTTGTCTAATGAGGTTTGTTCTTGTTCACTTCACCTCTCGAATGTAAAAACTCTACAGTATTCATTTCTCATAGTTCTATTCGATATTTCCTTTATAAACAAAAAAAAATCGCCTTTACCATATCCACGGATTAACCTATTTTTGGCCCTTAAAAGTTGATTCTCTTGATCTACTATTTTATTTTCACTAATTAATTTTCAGGAGTGTAACGGTGAACGTAAGATTAATCAAGTTTTAAATTGATATAAAAATCAGCTAGGACTTTACTTCTACAGTGTCAAATTTTCAGTTGAAACTAATTTATTTCACAAATGTTTCATCCTTTAGCAAAGAGCTCCTTCCTCTACACAAAAATGTTTATTGACATTCCAGTATGTGGGGCATCCCAAGTGTGGTCGTAATTTGTACTTGTGCAATATTTTTTAAAATTCAAAAATTCTTTTGACTGTTGAACATGATGAAGGAGAGTATTTCAATATTTATTGAATTCCTTCTTTAATCAGAAGGCAAATGAGGTGTCTTTATGACTAGGCCAAACGTACTATCAGAGCTATTCACCTAAAAGTTGATAAGCCAGTTGGTACTATACAAAAAAAAAAAAACTCGAACCATTTCTGGGACAGGCCGTAGATTTTTCAAACTATGCCGTTATTTTTGTATTTTTCTGTTAAATTTATATTTAATTGTTGAAAACCTGTTTACATTTTCAGAAAGACTTGATTGTTATTGACACCAAAGAGACCAACATAAGCTGAACCCAACTGGTTTTACTTTATAAAAATTATTCAACAGTGAAAATATTGAACTGAATCATAGCTGTGTTGCCCTAAAGCTGACTATAGGCTGAAAAAATCTGTTTTGTCTGTGCTAGTGAAAAAAGTAGACTCACTCCTTATAAATTATATTATGTCCGTTGATCAAGGACCTCGCTTGAAATTGAAATGAATGAATGTTTTTATACAAAACAATCCCAGTTTCGAGTTGTGTACCTAAATTTTTGACAATGAGCAAAAGTATGCTCATTTCCGCTGTGTAGACGATAGCTTTGTACCAAGTTTTTGACGAATCTGTTCTTGTGATTATATTTTTTTTCAGACTATCAAAAACAAGAGGTTAAATAAAATCTGTACATATAGTGTGATTCAAATAAAAGTATATTTTTGTTCATGTATTTTTTCTTGAACTATTGTGCTGTTCATTACTAACCAGCCTTTTTTACGAAAAGGAGTTAGGCTGCTTGCTGTACATAATGTGTCGATGGATTTGTTTGCTGAAAATTTCATTTCGGTTTTTAATATATTTTAGTGTTTTTTTTTATCTTGAATAATGATTTTATTAATCCTTGAATTGAATGAAATTTTCAGCATATTTGTGCCTTTATTTTTTTATTTATATTGTTTTATCAAACAAAAGTATTTGAAACTTGGCCTAGTGTCTGTTTGAATATTGACTATTATATTGATACCTCAAAAATTAATTCTCAGTTAAGGATAAATGTGTTTTAAGCAGGTATTCCTTTGTATTTGGTAATTTACAAGAACAGTTTTTTAGTTGGAGCCAAGTTTTGTTGAAATTTTGTTTTGGTTAATAAAATTAATTAAGATAGTGAATATTTTACTTTTTTTTTGTATGAGTACAAGGGTGTTTACCAAAGGAGGATCTATAGGGGCGCACTAAAGGAAATTGAAATAATAGAAATTCGAAAAGGAATATCTCGATCCAAAAAAAAAATCGATCTCGGTCTAGCAGAAATGATGTAGAACACGGGGTAACTATAAAATACTTTCAAATTTGACCCTATGACTTTCAATTTCAAGGTCAAGTCATTTTTTCAAATTTTCTCATGATTCAATAAAATTTGCCGAGATGTGATTTTTTTCTCATATAGCTGTATTTATCTCAAAAGTAGGGGGAATGACAAAAAAAATGAGCGGTTGCACGTCGATAAATATTGAAAAATATATGAAAAAGAGATATGAACTTTCAAAATTTCGGCTTTTTTTAAGTTTTAACGTGCCTTGACAATATTACGGGTTGAAATTTGGTACGGAGCCTTCCCTTTCCTACATATCGTCTTAGAAAAAACCGGGATTTATGCTTCAGCAAATTGAGAAAAAATGTCTTTATATTTTTAATTTTGAAAACTTGAGGAAAACCATATAAGTTTATATTTTAAGTAATGATTTTTTTTCTTCAGTAATTAGTTACATATACAGTGCATTTCTTTAATGTCCCCTTTTATTTTTTGAATGGGTCAACTCAAAAAATTGAAATTTGGGAAAAAGAAATTAATGCATGAATACTTTATTTTGAAGTCAAATTGACAGATGAAACTTCCAAGATGGAGACTAGGCGCCATCTGGGAAAAAAAATTAAATGGAAAAGTGAATTTGGATATAAGTTCCCTCAAATATGTTCTACACTATAAGGGTTTTACAAAAACCGCAACACGTGTTTCGCTATACAATAGCTATCAATAGCAATCATAGAATAAACTCTATTGATTAGTTTTTTAAATATGGATTTTCATCAAGTATGGGCCAGTTCTATTCGATCATACCTGTAGATCCTAACGTTAACAATATTACTGAGCATTGTGAGAACAATTGTCTTCATGTCTGGAAAGCATGTGTAACTTTCCCTCAAAGACACATCCTTTATCTTTGTTTATGCATGAAACATTTACATTCTCTGCCATAGATTCAAGGGCATAATTTCTGGTACAACCAATGGGTGCTTGGCATGATGTGCAAAGGGTCACTTTGGATTTGCATTCTTTACGAAGAAGATGTCCAATTTCACATGAATAAATTGCTTTTGTCATATATTTTGTGCATATTGGGCATTCAAGGTTTTTTTTGATGTGTTGATTATTATTGACAGCTTCCAGTTCTTCCAGAAATAACTCCTGGTTAGTTGTATGGGTTACTTTCAAAGTAACTAATATGTGATTTCCAACTATGGAACTAACATTTTTCCAATTGATATGAATAAATTTTGGTTAATTGTAGCAGACGGAAATGTAATATCACTAGAACTATTTTCTTTTCTATCGCTGCAATAATCCGGTGCAGTTACAATATTATTGACGATACATGTAGGATCCTCAAATTGATTCCATCTATCAGTAGGGATACTGCGCAGTGCATTTTTAGGGATACCAAACGGTGTATATGGTGTATTCTCTGATTCATTTCTGTTTGTGCCATGTGTATTTTTTTGGCATTTGGATGAATCCTCATAGTACACGTTTTCTTCAAACATTTAAAACAGCTTTCTTGTTCATAATAGTCATTGATGGCTATATTCTCATATGCGACAGAAATAGATGGATTAACAAAACTGCTGAACCTCAAATAATAACAAAAATTCTCATCCATGGATTGTAATGAGGTAGCACATATTTGGTCTTCAGATAATAAAATAGGAAACTGTAGACTATCAACAATTAGTAAACACACTTGTGTTGATACTGCATTGATCATCTCCACAACTATTTCCTTAAAGTAGACATTTTTCTTATGGATCATCTGCATGTGACTTTTGAATTGACTAATTTCAATATGTTCTTCACAATCTTCATAGTAAAGAGGGCATTTGATTTTTTTGTAAGGGCACCTTTTTTCATGTGTATCCACTTCTTTCCATGGAATATTTTTTTGCAATTTTCATAAATACAAGGAAATTTCAAATGCTTGGCTACATTCTCAAAAATTGTGTTTCTTATAGAAATACTGCATTTGATGTGTTTGCATCTTCCACACTGGTGGCCTATACCACCATCATCAAAAACCGTCATTACCGGTGGAATTGACAACCAACTACCGCAAAAAGTGCACTTGTAAGATATTTAATAACTATGTCGGTTGTAGTATCTTCCATTGTCTAGTAATTTGTTTCCTTTAATAGGTACCTAACAAATGGAAGCTGGCGAAATAAATTGGTTACAAATCCGTTACGTTGAGGAAATCAATATTAATTATTAAAAGTAAGCTAGATTACTAGATTTGTGAATATGTGAAAAACTCAAATACGGGTTATTTCAGTATTGCCATTGCCCACTAGCAGTTGCCAGTCTCTTAATTTCCACTAGAGATTAGAAACAGCAGCCTACTCGATTGAGCAGAACTATTAACAAGATGATTAACAACTATCAAATTCTACACTCATGTGAATTTTTCAGGGATATATCGTAATCTCAGCATGTAAAATAAAAACTTTCGTTAGTTGTAATTAGATGTCAAAATATTTCTCAAAATAGTCCTCCAGTTCAGAAAAGACATATTATTGTTAGTATATAAGTTCTTAATGGGGTTTCATAACTCCATAAAGGATGGATTGAACTTTAACTGTAGATAAAATGATATGTTTCAGAGGCACGTTAGTTATACAAGCCGTAACGACGATGAATTGAAGTTTATATCATTCAGTAATTGGGGGCTTCTGTGAACCGAGTGAAGTCTTTACTCCCGTCACTCAATGTTCCTTTCGGAGAATCCCCACTATTTTCAAATGATCAGGAACAATATCCTAGTTGCAGCTCGAACTACTACTGTCTACTGATTTTCGGGGAGTGGAGGTGGTCATAAAGGAAAGTACAATTCCAAAGCTTTCTATTGCTGAAACGCCTATAACCTGAAATGGCTGATATGCTGAATACACATTTGAAAGTCTGAATCATGAAGTGTTCAAGTGTTACTCTATCTTCGTAAAACCCGTTTTCTATCTGCCATCATTGCCAACATAACTCATTTGACTATCTGCGAACTGAGTTTTATCGAACAAATTGCTATCAACAATGGTAACAAAATAGACATTATCGACTCCATTCTTTCCGAAAAATTACGAGAACAAGCCATTACCAGGTTTCTTTCACTTCAATGATACTATGGTAAGCGTATAAGGACATACTTTGACGAACCCACAATTAACATCGTGCGTTATTTAAAATAAGAAGCATTTGAATTTGGCTCGCATAACAAATAGTAATTCAGGCTAAGTTATCAATAATGATAAAAACAAAAATTCACATTGGTTGAACTGACAGAACCTTTTCCCTAAGAGTAGAAGAACACAATTATAGTTTCTGAGTTCGAAGACCAATTGCACATTTGCAAACCAACTTTTGTCAGATAGGCAGGAGTTCAACCATGACTATGACGTGTTACCTTTGGAAGAGAAAGGTTTGAAACTCAGTCTTTTGGTATCCTTGAAAATTAATAGATTTGAGAGTTCTGAAAATTCATTGAATGATCAAATTCTCCTTTATTAAATCTGTTTTCTAAGATGAAAATTGATAACTAATTCATTGCCTGTCCGTTCAATGAGTCTGCGAAATTTCCTTTATGTTTGAATTTTTTATTACTTTTCACCTAAATTCAGCTAAAATCAATTAGTCATTTGGTAAGTAGAAGGTCGTATAATTCAATATATTATATTGTAGAACTAATTAGGTTGAATTCAGCCAGAATTGATACACCTGAGGAAGGTATTATCTAGTGAAACACGTGTTGCGGTTTTGTAAACTGTACAGTGGAAATATTACAATAAAGTGTTACTTGAATATAGCACCTTCTGGAAAAATATGTTATTGAATCAAATCTTTTACGGTCTTATTTCATTCATCCACCACTTGCATCAAGTAAATCAGTCTACAAGGCCTTAACCCCTTAATTCACTTCCTCAATTCACTTTCTAACTCATTAGTTCATTTTCATGTCATTGAATTATCTCATTTTTGGAAGCAGATGTTGATACGACTCAATAAATTCGAATTTATAACGCTAATCTTAGGTTTGGCGTTATTAAGAAGAAGAAAATGGTTTGTACACAGCCGTTAACGTTGGTTTTGGCCCCATCGATTATAAGAAATTCTCCTTTCGAACGTTGTGTGAACCACCAGAACTGCAAAACTGTAAACGCGTGTTTTATAAATCAAGTTTTATAAATCAGGAGATGAACTGTACAATACATGTGGGAGCGCACTATCTTATTGGAAAACAACTGGATTTCTGAATTCATCTGACCAAAACTTCTTGAATCCGTGAGTGAAAGACGTTTTGAAGAATTTCCAAATATGAATCACCAGTCAGATTTTCCTCTAGATATATGGGAATAATAATATGATATCCCAATATTCCGACCCAGATATTTATTTTCTCATTAGTTTGACTGAACCTTCGAAAAATATGTGGGTTTATGTATTAATATCGCACATTTTGACATTTGAAATTTCAGTTTATGAAGAAAGTGTATTCATTACTATAACAAATACTTTTTATGCAATTTTGATTTTCAAAAAATCGTTCGGACATAGCCGGGTGGTGACGTGGTTGCTTTGTTCACTCTCTCAATCGACTGATTTGTGAGTCGGTGGTTCAAGCCGCAAACTGAATGATCGATTTTCACTTGCTGTCGTCCAACCCGTGTTAGGAATCACACGTTAAAAGGTAAGACCTCGTTAGACCTTAGCTCGCACAAGTTTCGACTAGGTACTGAGGGTTGTCGAAAAAACATATTTTAACATAACAAATTATTTAACATATTAACACACAAAAATGCATTCTTCTGGCAGGTTCACCTTCATTTCGATAATGTAATATCATTGGTT